AGCTCCGGTTTAATTGCCTGTCAGGTCATCCTACTGGTAAACATCATGGCCACCATTCATAGCAGAGAGATCTAGTCAATTATGCCTTATGGGAAGAAGTGCTTTCTTTCCCAGCAAGACCTGTGGCCTGAGAGTCTTGAATTCACCAGCAAACTTTCTCCAGCATTGAAAAAACATATAGTGGGAGCAGGGAACTGCTCCTACTGAATTTCTGGCTGTTAATTTTACCAAGAGGTGATCCTTCTAATCTTGTCTGGTTTTTTTCTCTTTACCCATTCATAATAAAAATTTGGGCTTAAACTCGGGGTATCAACACTCTCATCTTGGTTTAGTGGTGACAAAAGTCACAGGCCATCTGGGGCTCATACACTCCCCATTTTCACATTCCCCAATTCCTTTTCCACAGCCTAACAGAGTTGTCCCAGAACATGCAAAAGGGCTCTTGGTATACCAGTGTGGGGCATTTATGGTTCTCTATGGAGTCAGTGGACTCCAACTCCCTTAATTCCTCCCCATTATCTATAGAAACTAGGGTTGATGGGAGTTGGGGGTCAAAAAACAACATCTGGTGGGTCCCATCTTCCCCACCTGTGGTGTTGTAACAATTCAGCCAAATCTGGCTACCTATCCGTTAATTTGGTCCATAATCATCTGTTATGCCAGTTCTGTCCACACTGAGTTCCTAGGGTAACAAGATGAAAAAGTGGACCTTTTCCATTCTCACCTGCACCTTTCATAGTTGTACAGAAGGAGAAAGTTCAGCAAGTCTAACTTATATGACCACTTCCACCTGCTGATATTCTCTCTTCTTCATGACGATCAAGCTACAGGAGTCTTGTCTTCTTTCCCATCTGGCCAACATACTAGTTGCCTTGAACTTATTTATAAGCAGCCAGTGTGGTTTAGTGGTTTGAATGTTGGACAATGACCCTGGAGATCAGAGTTTGAATCGCCACTCAGCCATGGAAACACAGTAGGTGACCTTGGGCAAGTCACCCTCTCTCAGCCTCTGTTGCTGTTGTTAACTGCCCTCGAGTCAACTTTGACTTATGGCAACCTCTCTGTTCAGGTCCTGCAGGCCCAGGTCCATGTCTTCCCTTGGCATGTGGTTTTCCTCTTTCTCCTGCTTTCTACCTTTCCTAGCATTATTGTCTTTTCTAGTGAGTCATGCCCTCTCACGATGACTTCCAGAGAGTTCTAGCTTGATCTGTTCTAGAATCCATTTATGTGTCTTCTTGGTTGTTGATGGGGAATACAATGGCTTGGACCAGGGGTAGGCAACCTTTCCCCTTTAAGGGCCGAGGGACTTCAGCTCCCAGAATCCCAGGAGCTATTGGCCAACATGGGACTATTGGCCAACATGGCTGAGGCTTCTGGGAGCTGAAGTCCCTTGGCCCTTAAAGGGGAAAGGTTGCCTACCCCTGGCTTAGACTATCCTTACTTTAGTGTTCAGAGTTATGTCTTTACACTTTCTGGTCTTGTCCTTTAATAACTGCCCTTACCAAACCTAATCTACTGAATTTCTTGACTGCAGTCTCCATTCTGATCAATATTTGAGACAAGATATGGAAACTCCTTGATTATTTCAATTTTCTTGTTGCCTAAGGTGAATTCTTATAGATCTTTTGTGGGCCTCTGTGAACAAATCTTGCAAAGAAAGCCCATGATAAAGTCACCTTAGGGTCAGAAACTACTTGAAGGCACACAACAACATCATATTGGAACATTCAATACTTTTTATGACAAATTATCATGACCAAACTAATGAATAAACAATACAACTGTGCTTTAATTTGTGTTGAAGTCACATGCCATGAAGCATGACTTTGGGGCTGATCAGGGAATTGCTGTTTACCGAAGCCACATGCAAACTGGATGAGAAAACCATGCCATTGTCTTGGGGTCGAACAGCCATCAGGAGCAACTAGGGTTATAGTTATAGAATCACAGAGTGGGAACAGATCACAAGGCCCATTGAGACCAACCCCCTGCCATGCCAGAATGAAAACCAGAGAGGATTCCTATCCCTTTAATGGTTATGCATAAGAGGGAATTTCAGCAGGTGTTGTTACCCAGTTATGTGATAAGCAACATCTGCTAAAATGCCTTATTCTGCACAACCATTAAAGGTACAGGATGGAGCTCTCTCTAGTTTTCAGTTTGGCAACTCTAACTGGTAGATATCTGGGTGATTTGCAGTACATTGACAAAGTTTTCATATCCACAGTTTAACAATAACAGTGATAAGATGTATAATATGTCCAAAATTATGCATCTCCAGTTTTCAATCATTTCTTCTTACTAGTTAGTCTCCAAGGTGCTACTGGATTCCTTTATGTCTTTTCATGCTGAAACAGACTACCAAGCCTATCCCTCTCAACACCAAGTTACCCAGACACACAAGAAACAAGTCCTTCCACCTATCTTCCCCAAGGGCCCTCACTTTCCATCCCCACCCGCCTAAATGTTGTCCACCTGGAGTCCTGAACACAAGAGCAGTTGAGGGAGGAAGCCACTGGAAGGAACATGGAGGAAAAGAGACCATAGGAGTCCTACCAGGGCTACTCTGTCTGGCATTTCAGTAAGAGATTTAACAAGTTGCCAGCACAAGCCCTGGTGGTGAAGTGGTTAAATGCCGGTAGTGCAGCCACAAGGTTGTGAGTTTGATCCCAGGGGCTCCGAGGTTGATTCAGCCTTCCATCCTTTCATAGGTCTGTAAAATGAGTACCCAGCTTGTTGGGGACAATTGGCTTACAGACTGTAAACCGTTTAGAAAGAACCATGGAAACCCACTGAGCAAGTCACACTCTCTCAGCCTCTCAGGGGAAAGCAAAGGCAACTCCTCCCCTCTGAAGAAACTTGCCAAGGAAACTCATGATAGGGTCGCCATAGGTCAGAAAGGACTTGAAGGCACACAATAACAACAACAACTCAACCCCCCCATCAGTCCTCTCCCCTGGGGGGCTGTGTTGCAACCTGCCCGCTCCCTCCCTGAGCTTCCCCTGCCGGCCTTCTGCCTGCTGGAGGAGCGGCATCCTTTGGTACCTGGAAGCGGGCAGTGGCCTCCTCCTTGCGGCCTGGCTCTGTGCAGTCCAGGTGGAGCCGGAGGGAGGCCTTGCCACACTGAATCTCCTCGGCCAAAGCCCCACACGGCCACGGCTCACCTCCAAGAGGGGGTATCCTTTGTCGTGTGGAGGAGGTAGCAGAGGACACCCAAGAGGGCTGAGGCCGGGGAAGGGTTGCAGCCCAGGTGGGCCACACTGGCCGCCTCCCGCTTGGCATTCAGGGCCGGCTCCAGCTGCTGGCAGCACTTTCTGGCTGGCGCTGCAGCTGCAGCCATCTTCGCCGCTGCCTGAAGAGGAAATGTGAGTTACGTCATGTGAGGGAAGGAGCCAAGTTCAACTGACTATTCCTGCCTTGTTCCAGGCACATTTTGTCAATCTCCAGTCTGACTGGAGATTGACAAAATGTGGTCTGGAACAAAGCAAGAATCTGAGATTTGTGGCTTAAAAATGCCCAGCCGCGCAGGGACATTTTTTAGAACCTCCAATCTGTGATTTTCCCGGTTTTCCAGGACATATGGTAACCCTACTTTACACAGAAGTTGGATGGACATCTTTTAGGAATGTTTAGTTGTGGATTCCTGTATGGAAAAGGGTTGGAACAGAGGGCCCTTGTAGTCCCTTCCATTTCTAAGATTCTATGATCCTATTATTCCTATTTTAGGAAGGATGGTAAACTTACTTTGGAGTTTAGTCCAAACTTTAAAGGAGCTATCTAAAGTGTTGAACCTGCCTTGTAGACACGATTCAGCATCTTGAATAACTCCTTTAAAATGTGGTCTGAAACTTAGGGGGAATTCCCCCCCCCCGACACAGAAGTCCTGCTACTGTCAGTGCAGATTTCTCAACTACAGGATGCCAAAGGATGGGGAAGCTCTACCTGTTCAATTTCTTCCTGGTGTGCAGTTGTTAAAGACACAGGAAAAGCCTTGCCGGAGGAAATATACTATACTCCTATTTATCAGGAAAAAATGATTTATCTTTCCCTGTACATGTGTAGAGCACTAGTAAGAGCAACATGTCTGAGGCTCCATCTGCACTGCAGAAATAATCGAGGTTGACACACTTTAACTGTCATGGCTCAGGGCTACTGAATTCTGGTAATCGTAGTTTTGTGAGACATTTAACTTTCTTTGTCAGGGGGCTCTGGTGCCACAATAAACTACAATTCCCAGAATTCCCTAGCACTGAGCTATGGCAATTAAAGTGGTGTCAATCTGGATTGTTTCTGCAGTGCGGATGCAGCCTGAGTATCAAACATTTGAGTTTGTCCTCTACTGGTAGTAACTAGCACTATGGATACTTTGGCATAATTTCACCTCCAGGGTGCATTCAGACATCTCTTAAGTACATTGTTGGAACTGGCAGAAGTCCTGAGCAGCATTTATATCATAAGGCTAAGGGCTGGGCATTTGTGCAAGTGCAAAAGTCTTCAGGGTTTGTTTGTTTTTTTAAAGGCTACCAGTTTGTGGTTTTGTGGCCGATGCTGCCATCTCCTGGCAAGAGTGAGTATAGCAGCCACATTGTAAAGAGGAGCTCAATTGTTTGGGTAGGGCTTGTGAATGCAACCTACAGCTGGGAACCAGGATGGAGCCGAATGCTGAAATCCTATGTGTACCTTGTTGTTGTGTGCCTACAAGAAATTTCTGGCTTATGATAAGTAGTTTTTGCTGGCCCCAGCCTGGCATGGCTAAGCCTTTGGGAATGGTTACAATGAATGCAACAGAAAGTCTTAATACTGAGATGGAGATAACGTGACTGAGAAAGCTTAACCTAGAGAATATTTACATCTCAAACTGCAAAGGAGTAGAGCCAGATATTTTTTTTTTTAAAAAAAAAAGGTGACAACCTTAGCCAGTTTAAACCTGAAGACATATTTTAATTTTCATGTTTCCTCATACCAGGGACAAATTTGGTAATAACTACAAAGAATAGAGAGTCAATGCAGCATAGTGGTTTGAGTGTTGGACTATGACTCTGAAGACAGGGTTTGATTCCCAACTCAGTCACGAAACCCACTGAGAGACCTTGGGCAAGTCACACTCTCTCAGCCTCAGTGGAAGGCAATGGCAAACATCCTATGAACAAATCTTGCCAAGAAAACCCCAGGCCCGTCATAAATTGGAAATGACTTGAAGGCACAAAACAACAACCATAAAGAAGAGAGCCGCTGGGGTTGTATAAAGTGCATTATCCACTTTTACATAACTATTTCTTCTAGAACAGTAGTGGGGAACTGCAGGCCTTGGGGTGGGATCCAGCCCTCCCGGGGTCCCAATCCAAGCCTCTGGGATTCTCTAACTGGCCACATACCCTCCTCTATGATACCACAGTTTGGTGGTTTCCTAGCCTTTGTGTTTCCCCTTCCCCCCTTTGAAGGCAGAGTGCTTATGATACACGAGATGAAACCGGGTGGAAAGTGAAACAAAACCATGCTCCGGGGCTAAAAACCAGAGCAAAAAGAAGGTGGCATACTCCAACTCAAGGCGGAAAATGTGCATCATCGCACTGGCATATAAATAGACCTATGCAAGTACGAGACTGCGGCAAAGCAAAAACACAGTCACCAGTAATACAATGGATGCAATTACAACATGCACAAACCAATCCAACTGGGGGGGGGGGGCAGAGGCTGGAGGGAGTGAAGGGGCATGTATGGGGGGCCTCCAGGATTGTGATTTGCCAGTGCATCACTTGGCACACTGACGCATTGTACAGGCGGCACATCACACATTCAACTGTGTGGCCAGTCATACGGGCCGGCATCCAATGTAATGGCATCTAGGTGGGAAGAGCAAAGTAACTGGAGGTCACAGGGGCTGTGTTTGTGTGATGGTGTGCATACATGGTGGGGAGGCAACCAAAAAAGAACCTCTCAGTGCAGCTTGATAGCACATGATGCAGACAGGCTGTGGATGTTCTGTCTGCCTTGGGAGTGGGCCATGCAGACAGTGTGGTCTCGACTTACTTTCAAAAAATTCAGGATTGAACTGCTTTTTCTTGCCTGTCTGCTCCAGCCCTAAGACTTAATTACTGGCTGAAAGAAATTTAAAATATGTTGACATTTCTGGCCCACCCAGAGAGGTCCCCTGTGCTCACTACGGAAGGAAATCTGCAATTGTAGAAGGGAACTATAACATTCTGATTACAAAAAGCTCACAGCATTGTTCTTCACTACAGTGGCTGCATCCACACTGCAGAAATAATACAGTTTGACAGAACTTTAACTGCCATGACTCAATGCTATGGAATTCTGGGAACTGTAGGTTGTTATGGCACCAGAACTCTCTAACAGAGAAGGCTAAATGTTTCACCAAACTACAATTCTCAGATGTCCATAGCAATGAACCATGGCAGTTAAAGTGTTGTCAACCTGGATTATTTCTACAGTGCAGATGCAAACAGTGTCAGCAGTCCCCAAGCCTTTATGGATCTGGGGCCCAGCTTTATCCTAAACATTCACTTTAGGACCAATTTTTGAAACTTTTTGCTCTAGTGTGACCATATGTTTGTCATATCAGAATCAAAGAATCACTCTGTGTGTGTCTGTCTTTATGGGGATAATTCTTTCAGGCCACCTTGTTCAACCCTTTGTCAGTGAAGGAAACTCAGAATAGGAGCATCTCTAACCTTTTCTTGCAGACTTCCAGAGACAGCCTACCACCCCTTTAGGTAATCAGTTTCACTGTGTAACTAATGTTCAACCAAAATCTACCCTCTTCTAACCCTGACCAATCAAATCTAGCTTCACCCTCTGGGCACCAAAGAACAGATCTCTGTCCAATTTTGTATGTCCTCTTCCAGAGTTTGTAGGTCCCACAGCCTTTCCAAGGGCACCAGGGTAAAAAAAAGCCTCTATGAAACCCAAATTAACTATTTACCAAGAAGGCTGTCTGATGTGTCCCTGCAGGAGTCAGTGTTCTGCTTATACCTCATTCCAATCTGTGGGCAGGTCATTCATAGAATCATAGAATCATAGAGTTGGAAGAGACCACAAGG